TTTGATTTTTCTTTAATATTTTACTTTCTTTAGTGAATTTTTCTTCCAAGTCCTGGATTTTTTTTTGTGGTTTCTTCGTGTTGGTTATCCATTTTTTCTTGCATATCATTCAGGTTTCTTACAATCCACGTTTGAAATTCTTCTTCTGTCATTTTAGTGTTCTGAGTTTGGTTAATGTCCATTGCTGGGGAGCTGTTGTTCCTCTTTAGGGGTATGCTTTCCGTTTGAGTCTTCATACTTCCAGAGTTCTTTCGCTGGTTCCTTCCCATCTGGATCAGTTGTTCCTTCTTGCCTTTAGATTTTTGTTTGGATAATGACACACCCTGTTTGGTCTCTGAGCCAGTAGGTGGTGTTTGTGGGTGAGATTTGACCACACCCTTTATGATGAATCAGTAGATGCAGTAGAAGGGTGTGCAAGATGACCTCCCTGTCAGTAGGTGGCACTTGCAGGGAGGAGTGAGCTGCAGTGCTATTTTTGGGTCCTGTAGCTAGCTCTTGTTCCTCTAGAGAGGCCATCTTGTGCCTCGGGTGGTGGGAGGGGCCGTGGGACTTCCAGGTGTGTCCTTATTCTCCACCTCAGTGGGGGCAGGACCAGGAGTGAGTCTGGGTGGGTCTGGGTTGGGTAAGCCTGCCCTCAGGCTCCACAACTGCTGTTATCAGGGGTCAAAGGTCTGTTCTTTGCTTCTGTGCAAAGCTGCCGGGAGGGGCTTAAATGGCTCCACTCAGCAGAAAGTCTGGGCTTGGGGGGTGGGGCTGTCCAAGACCCGCACTCTGGAGCGGGTCTTGCTCCCCACCACTCTCCCCCTCTCCGTGGCCTCTTCCAGGCCTCTGTCAGCAAGCGGGACCTCAGGCTGATGGATCTCCCCTGGCTGTGACGTGGGCCAGTAGGTTCCCTACCCAGGATCGCAGCCTGAGCTGGGTGCACAGCCCTCTTTTGGGAGGAGATTTGCTGCTCGGGCACGCTGATATGCCCCTGAAGGCACACACTCCTCAGTAGGCTCTTTCACAGATCTGCCTTCTGTGCCCTGGGGAAGTGCGATCCTGACCTGGGTGTACGGGGTCTGGTCTGCAGGCCTGTCCCCTAGACCCTGGAGAGCAATCCCTGGCCCTGCCAGGGGGAGGGGTGCTGGTCTTTAATCACCTACAGGGTGCCCAGTCTGGATCTATTTCACTCCCCCTTGGGATTTGCCCCGCTCTCCTGTAGTCCCCAGGCAAGCCGCACCTGGGAGGGCTGGCGGGTAGGGAGCTCGCAGTCTAAGTATCCCTCAGTCTGCTGTAGGGCCCCAAAAGGAAAGGTCGCATTCCTTGGAGATGCCTCCGTGTGATGGCTAAATTGTCTGGGCACTCACCGGTAGGGAAGGGGAAGGAGAGAATGGAGTACTATGGCGTCTTCTGATAGGCTTGGGTTTGCGCACGGGGAGGTGCCCCGAGGAAGCTGGGTGCCCGGTGCCGTGTCCGCAAGAGGCCACTGCTCACTGGCAGCAGCCGTCTCTGGGCTGGTGTTGGCAGGTCTCTCCAACCGCTCAGGAGCCCACCAGCAGTCCGAGATGCCAGGGAGGGGAAAGTTATCTGCTCCACCTACCCTTGTCACTGGTCTCGAGGCCTCTCGGGACCTTTCTCCTTCCAATTCTCCTCCGCAGCGTCTTCCCGTGGAGTCTCCTGTAGTTTCAGGCACCCTTCCTTCCGACCCTCACCCAATCTATGTTTCTCTGCTAGTTTATTTTTTTTTCTCTTCTAAAATTTGTCTTTTTTGCAGAGACACTCTGACTGGCAGCTTTTCTTGTCTGCCATCTTGGCTCCTCCCCTAGAAGGTGGTAAAAGTTTTAAAGAAAAGAAAAAACTGAACAGAGGGCAAGGAAAGCCAGTGTTTTAGTTATGTATTGTTGTATGATACATTACCTTGAAGCTTAAGACCACCACTATTTTAATCTCATTTTCATGATTCTGTGAGTTAGATTTGGACAGTGGGGATGGTTCATTGCTGTTTCAGACGATGTTTCCTGCAGCTGGAAAGTCTAAGATGGCTTTTCTACACATTTATCTAGTGCCTAAGTGGTAGTGGCTGCAAGAACTGGGACTGACTGACTGAAACAACTGAGCTCTGGTTATATGTTTGGGGCCTTAATACTTGGTCTCAACTGCATTTCTGTTTTCTTCCATTAGTTTGGAGGGCGTCTCTGTCTCCATGTGGCCTCTCACATGTTCTCTTCAGGAGGGTAGATCAGAAATCAGCTATATTTCTTATAGAGACGTTCAGGTGTTCTGGGAATACAAAAGCTGCCAGATCTTAAAACTTGGGCTACTTAATACCAGTGCTACTTCTGCCACATTCTGTTGGTTAAAGTAAGTCAGATCTAGAACAGATTCTAACACTTCTTACTGGGGTGAATACCAGGAGGCATGGCACATTTGGATCATTATAGTAACCATCTTCCACAACCAGTTAGGAGGATATTGACAGTAATCTAGGCAAGAGGTGATGGTGGGTAATTCTAGAGATTGTAAGAAGCAGTCAGATTCTCAATATATTTTCGTGATAGAGAAAACAGGATTTTTAAACATTAGATGTGGGTTTTGTTAAAGAGAGAAAA